ATATAATACAGATTTTTTATAATTAAATATATGATTATCAAATTATATTACAAAATTTTAGGTTGTAAAGTTTCAATTAATAATTGTATATTTATTTATTTAGTTATTTATTCATTTATTTAATAATTCACTACTAATATTTGTCACTGATGTATGTTCATCGACCTCACGAGTACTGAGCGTCATTAATAAAACGAGTTAATATATGGAGATTAAAAGAGAGGAATTAATTAAGTAATTAATATTAACAAATGTATCCCATTATTTCACTATTATGCAATTACGCTCTTCATTACCAAGTCTTTGACACAAGAATCTAATAGATATCATTTTTTGTTGTATTCTGTAGAATATTTGTTACATATAAAACTTTTGTGACATACAAAACAATTTTAAACAGACGAAAACTAGATTGCAGAATACAAATTTTAAATTTTCCATGAATAAATGTATGAATATCTATAAATCTACATGCGATAATTTGTTGACAGGTAAAAATAATATATATCCAAGAATTCATAATGTTAAGTACTATACAGATTCGTTTAGTTTTCGGTAGTGTCTTCAACAATAATCACGTAACAAATGTTCTGCATATATAAATATTATCTAGATGTAATTACACTTTTATTATATAGCTAGCTTCTCTATTTAATATTTGAGAAATATACTATGTTTATATATACATGATTGGAATATACATATAATATATAATTATTACAAATGAAAATGTTGTACTTAAAACGAAAGAAGTAAAGAATTATTAAAAAGTCAACATTGTATAACAAATGTAAATAAAATAGATTAAATTAATGAACAAAAATAATATACGTTATAAATTTTGTTTGCAATTTCTTCTTTTAATTTCGAAAACTATAAGATATTATAGATATTCTTCATATTAAAAAAATTATCTAATAATTTAATTAATGTAGAAAATCATTGTTATTTCAAATATCCATAATTTTGTTCAAATGTATAATGTATTAATTTATCAATGTATGCATATAATATATACGTGATATGTCAAATTGTATTAAAATTGAATCTTTTTCACATTTTTTTCTTTTAATTTTCGATCCCAGAAAATTTTACGCCACCATTGTTGGACAGCCTTCACAGATCGTTCTCGTTTAAATGCTAAACGTTGTTTGACGAAGAAAAGATATATTTCTTCTTGTTGTTTCATTTCTTTCTGCAATTCAGAGATATGTCATAATATTCCTTTTCCACAATTTAAATTATACGTATGTTTATATATGTGCAATGCATGATCATTAGTTTATTTATGTAGACAAAATTACCTCTAATGCAAGTTTCTCGAGCTTATCGCATGCATATATTTCATTGAGTTCTTCTAATATTTTATATCTATTACCAATTTCTGTATCGTATTTAGCTATTACTGCCAATAACTTTGATTCAATCATCGACCTATATATAATTAATTAGGGATATAAAAATATAATGAATAATTATAAGTCGAGTTTTATGCACGCTTACTTTCGTTCATATATAGTTTCTTTAAATTTCATATTTATATCTTTCAAAGAATTAAAGTCATCTATAATATTCTCCAAAGCTACTTTTATTTCATTTTGTTCAAATTCCCACGCTTTATATAAAGTAAGTTGTTTTCTCTCATATTTGTTACTGCAAAAATTGCAAAGATATATTTATTATAAATATTAATATACGTACGTAACAATAATAATTTTAGATTCAATTTTATTTGCGATGTATAAAATATAAAAAATTTTTGGATACGTTGTGTTCGTGATGTCTTCTTTGCATCTTTTATTGATTTTATTGATAGTAGCTACATTTTTCTTGTACCGTTTGACCACGTTTTCAAGTATTTTTTTATGATTAATTCGTTGTTTCTCTAAATCCGTAATAAATACTACGTATACCCCACCCAGTGTGGGAGGGCAGGAGAAGAAAAAAAAGTAATATATTAATTAATGTATCATAATTTCTATGTTACAAGTTTAATCATGGATATATTTATGAATGTGAATATAGTGCACTCCCTATTTTCAAGTCCTATCATATTAATGTTTTTGCCTGATTTGACTACATAATTGAAATGTTTTATAATATATTTCTTATACGCGAGAAATATTATGCTTTTTTTTACCATCAATATCTTCGATAGACTTCTTCTGACACCGCCAAAGATTTCTATAATGCAGTTCTTTACTCCTTGCTTGTTCTGGTGTAAGATACATTCTGTATAAAATATGCTGTTCTAAAAGACAACGAAGGTAATGTAGAAACAAAGCTGATGACGTTGAAATTTCTTTATAGTCGGGTTTTGTACGGAGAACATCAATATGTTTGTAAAGAATCTATAAAGGTAATAGACCTTCTTTATGTTAATTTTCTTAAAATATAAAAAATATGATATAATGCTAAATATAAGTTGATTTAAATTTTGCACATTTTATCTGTTATACTCTCAACACAATTTTACAAATGGCATGCATATTTTGTATAAATATTATAAATTATTCTCTATTATTTATAAATAGAAATTTGAGCATTCTATTAGTTAACAGGAAGTAACCTTCAATGCCTTGTAAACTGCGTAGTCAAATTTGGTCATATTGTTCCAATTTTTTTTAGAATGTTTATTTGTCGTTGATTTCTCATCTATAGATATTAAAATATAAAATATTTGCAATCATAAATTATAAATTAGCTTTATCAGTTAATACATACATGATTCAAGCCACAAAGGATTCACAGATTGTATATATAAAAGGAGAAAAAAATAAGTCTTAAATTAATCTCAGAAAATTGATCTGTTAAGTATTGATTACTTGATTGTGGTGAATTGTTAGAATAAAATTCAAGATTGCTTAATAGGACGTCGTTTATTGCGCTCATTTCATCGAGTGAAAGAATTATATGTAATTCAGGGATCGATATAAGAGAAGGTAAAGCCATCTAAAAATTGAATTTGTGTTAATAATGTCAAAAATGAAATTTATTCAAGAGCGATGATATTACTGCCAATTCCATTTTTCTTATCGCAGACTGAAAAATAGTTTTTATAAGCATCAATATAATCGATTCTTTTTGAATACTTCCTTCATGTTTACTGTCATATTGTATTTCGTCAATTTTGTATGCAGAATCTCTTGGTATTTTTATTTCCCTAACGAACATAATTCCAATTTTTGAAAAGTACTAATATGTTACTATGCGTTTTGAAGAATACGTTAAGATTGTAAGCTAGTGATGACAAAATCACGATCAACCAATTATATCTAATTTAATACTATATTTTCATAAATTTTAACATATATAAATATAAAAAGTTGCTCGAAATTTCAAGTTTACATTTGTAAGTGAATACATACATGATACAATTTGACTTCACAAAATAGGTCATTGTGTTCATTTTTACGAAAATTTTTACAGATTTTTTAAAGATTGCGACATATGGCAAATATTTATGAACGTATTTTAAAACCTTAAACGTAAAATTGTTTTATGCTTTATATTCCATACATAAAGGGAGAAATGGAAATGGACTTAAAGAACAAGTAAATATCATGAAACATTTTCATAATGAAATATCTTCATATTATTTGAACTATTTTTCATACGTATAGATTTTATCGCTCTCTTTGTCCATAAATTCATAAAGTATTCTGTTACTATATAAATGTAAAAAAAAATAAAAGTATACATAGAAAAAATGTTATCTAATCTTTATTAATAATAAAAGAAAATCAATGAGAAAATTTTCGAAAATAACATTTGATTATCATACATAATAAATTACATAAAATTACAATGAAAGCCAAGCCACGAAGATAATGGACATTAACAAAGAATTGGTATTAATTGAGAACACAATTATATTTATCATTTTAATTTTGTAATATCTGTATATAATGTGTGTTAGTTATATGCATATTTTATAAGTCATATATTTATTATATATACTATACGTGTGTGTGTATGCGTGTATATACACATGTATAGTCAAAAAATGAAATGCATTAAACTTACTTATAGAATTCGTGTTCAGATTCATCTTTCTTAATGTTATTTTTATAACCTTTTTCAAAATCTTTCGCTAAAACTATGTAACGATTTTCACGGACGGCATGCATTCCCGCTTCTTGACAAATAGCATTAATATCAGCACCTGAAATTCTATCTGGCCGTGCTACATAATCTTCAAGATCCACTTCTTCGCTCAAATTCATCTTTGCGGTGATCGTGGAGAAGATCAAGCGCTTCTGTCGGCGATCAGGTAACGGAAATTCAATCTTGCGATCCAGTCTACCAGGACGAAGCAATGCAGGATCCAATGTATCAGCTCTGCAAGAGAATCAGAACAAAGATATTGTTTATCCTAATATTTAGGAAACTTTTAACGAAATTATAATCAACCCACCTATTTGTTGCCATAATGACTTTAACATTGGTTGTCTGATCAAAACCATCCATTTGGTTGAGCAATTCTAAGAGAATACGTTGCACTTCACGATCTGCTCCAGTTTGCGCATCAAATCTCTTTGTAGCAATAGCGTCAATTTCATCAACAAATATTATAGCTGGTGAATTTTCCTTCGCTAAACGAAACACATCTCGCACCATTCTTGGTCCTTCGCCCAAGTATTTTTGCACAAATTCAGAACCCACCACGCGAATAAAAGCAGCTGAAAGATAAAAAAAATAATAGAGAAAATTTTAATTTTCTGCATAATAAATATTTTCCACAAAATTCCTTTTAGTAATATGATTATCAAGGCTCATACCAGTAGTGTGTCTAGCAACAGCTTTCGCTAACATGGTTTTTCCACAACCAGGTGGTCCATACATGAGTACACCTCGTGGTGGATCAATACCAATCTGTTTATACAATTCAAAATGAGTAAGAGGCAATTCTACTGCCTCTCTAATCTCTTGCTTCTGCATGTCCATTCCACCTATATCACTGTACTGGATGTCCGGCTTCTCATCTTTGTTATAAATATTTTATTATTTATAATTTTATTTGATATGTTCATTTAGATACAATATTGATAATATTTAGGAGATTCTTACCTGCTTGTAGCATAGAAATGCTGGAATCAGCTTCTGGTGGTAGCACATCCACTAAAGCATTGCTATGCTTATGAAGCGCTACACTAGCAGAAGGCTTCAGAAGTTCTCTGTCTATAGTGGATAAAATCCGTACATAATAATTTGAGCCTGTTGTAGAGCCTACTATACCAGTGTTCTGATCAACAGCTTCTAGAAATTGTCCAATGACCAAAGGTACACTTTGGATGCGTTTAACTTCTTCTTGTGCATGTAAGTATTCTTTCTTTAGATTACGTTGCTCGTCCTTTATATATTCTTCTTGTACTTCAAGAAATTCCAGCATTCTCTGCAGTTTCTACTCGGAAGAATAGAATACTTGTAGCATATTTATATTTTGTTTGTAATCTTCATGCTCAATAAAAATACATAATTTTTTAATTAATAGAAATTAATATTTAAGTAGAATCAACAAAATGCATTATGTCAAATGGTCAAGACAATGTACTTTTTAAATATTAATACCTCTACACATTTCAGACTTATATGAGATATGTGAAAATTTATACCTTATATTTAGTGTAAAGATCTTCGACATCCAATTCATCTCCAGCTCCTGTGTAATGACCAGCAGCTGGTTTAGAATCAATTTCACTCACATCCTGAAAAGACAATCATAAGTTTGTGTTAATTAATATTTGTAAACTTTCCAATCATTTTTTAAGTTACTGGTTAAAGACACGTCAAAAGATTTACGAAAACCACAGTTCTGTATAGGTTATCTTTGTCTTAGATCAGACAAATCTATGGAAATACAATATAAGTTAAAGATAAACGTACCTTATCCGGCAAAATAATACCTAATTCTTCCATTGTAGTCTAAGAATTCTTATACGTTAACGAAATAATAGACACGCTTTTTTAATATTCGACAGTATTCAAACAACCTATGCTGAACAATATCGGATGACTACAGCTTTTTGAACATTTCGTCACTGTTGGCCCTTGACAATCTATGTATATATAGATCAACCATTCTGTTGAGTCCGCTGGATGCGGCCAATGTGTTCTAATATGTTCCGAAAAGTAAACAATATGAAAGCCAATCAGTTTCTTGTCTTTTGGACAATTCCATATTGGCATTCACATCGTATCTAAATATTTTTGCATCATGACTGTTGATAAAAAAAATGTCAATTTTATATTTCGAAACGAATGCTTGCATGTTTATGTATAAGTTAGATATGGGTGTCATTGTGTAAGAGCTATATATACATCAATATATATATATAAACGAATATATATATGTATATATTTGTTACAGAATTTATCTTATACATAGTTGTCAAATTTGTCCGAAGGAAGAATTGTCAAAATTATTATGTATGACAAAGTAAATTTATATACACTTGTAAAGGTGTGTACAATTATAAGAAAGCCTATGCAGTGATGCTTTGCAAAAAATGTATATTCAACAACACATATTTTGTCGTAGGAATGAGGATATCTCAAGATCTCGAAAATTTTCCGCAAAGTTTAGTCGATTTATGTGTCAAAGAATGGTATTTGGTTCCATATCGTTACGGATATTTATTTGAAGAGAACATTTTTGATACACTCATAACCATTACTTGATGCAAAATGCAGTGTAAAATTGACAATCTACCTGACGAATTACTAGAATATATTCTGAGCTTAATACCACCGTATAAAGATCTTCAGGAATGCAAGCTTGTTTGTAAAAGATGGTACCATGCTACAAAAAGTATGTATCTTTCTTTTATTAACCTTTAAATGTCCAATATCAAATAAAGATGCTAGCACAGAATAAAGCTAATACATTGATTTTTATGTAATTAGATGTGATAGAACACAATGAAGCACATTTTCAAAAGTCCGTCGCTTTTGGATCTTTGCAATGGAATTCATTGCCATCCACACATTGGGTGCCTACTATTGGAAAGAGACATTCACATTCTGCGTGTATATACGAGAATTCTATGTATGTGTTTGGTGGTTGCACTGCTACGTGGACAACATTTAATGACTTGTGGCAGCTGGATTTAGGCACAAGGACATGGGTTAGACCGATCACTATGGGCAATTATCCATCACCTAAAGCTTGTGCTACTATGCTCTATTATAAAAAAAGTTTAATTTTGTTCGGAGGATGGTCTCATCCATCACCGTACCCTTTGCACCAGGTAAATATTAAAATAATGCATATGAATTAATTTTATTCTCTCAAAGTCTCTCTAGAATTAAATATATCAAAAAACATATATACGTATGTATATATATAAAATGTGTTTTTTTTTTAACATAAAAATTGCAAAATTGTATAAAAGTATTGTTAAATTCATTAAATTTATACAATCAAATTATAATTTGAAAAATATAAGTAGCTATTTAAATTAGAATGTATTATCTTTCTGTAATTTATGATGTTTTTAAATCAAGATGTTTAATACTATACAATTATAATAAATAATATATAATAAAACATATAGTAATAGATAATAATATATTTTCAGCAATGGAAGTTATTTAATGAATTACATGTATACTCTATAGAATCAAATAAATGGACTGCTATAAATACGTTAGAAACTCCACCACCAACATCTGCACATTCTGCAACAATACATAAAAATTTAATGGTCGTTTTTGGTGGTGTTTGTGGTGGATACAGGTATATTTTTATAAAATTATAAATATTGGATTTTAATATTATTTACAATATATGTGCTGCTTGTGTGTATTATTTTATAGTTTTATATTTCAGTTCTAATGACGTATGGTGCTTAAATTTGGATTCATATAGTTGGCACAAACAAACTACGTCAAATTTGAAACCACAACCACGTTATGGCCAATCACAAATTGAACTGGGAGAGAAGCATCTACTTGTGCTTGGTAAGACATTTATAATTGTTTATGAAATTTAAGTTGCAATATTGAAACAAGTAAACGCATAATTACATTTATGAAATATACAGGAGGTTGCACAGGACCTAATGCTGCTATGAATGATGCTTGGTTATTAACAATGGAAGGTGCGTCTTGGACATGGAAAAAAGTTAATATGCATAATACAGAATGGGCACCTACACGTATTTGGTGTCATCAAGCTTGTAAAGTAATGTATTAAGGAAAAATGAGCATTTCCACGAAATAAATATAAATATTGAAGATAAAAAATTCATGTCTATTTGCATAGGTGGGGAATTATATTATTGTACTTAGTAAAAACAGACGTCAAGCCAAATCAAGTGATATGAGCATCTCAATGAAAAAGGTTGTTTGTCAACGAAGTACTTCACCACGTTTGTGTGAATCAAATCTTTTGCATGAAAGGTCTGGTGCAACTTGTATTTATAATATAGCATTATATGAAGATTTATACAAATTATAAAAAAATGAACGTAATTTTACCATTTGATTATTTTAGGCAAGGAAATTTATCCGTCATAGATAGGGATGAAAATGTAAATGGACGACATGGAGTATTTTCCAGATCATATTCGCAAAATGCACATGCCTCATCGCATATACCTAATATCTCAAAAACAATATCATTGTACAGTGATAATGCTCTAAGCATGGCTGCATTTCGTGATCAACCCTTGCGTAGCAGTTCAAATACCAATAGACAACGTCAATTAGAATCGCTAAGAAGAATGGAAGAAAAAATTCGTAACAAGAGAGCGCAACATTTGATGAAAGTATTAAAAAAATCCGAGAATACATTATCTATATTTGTATTGGATATTGCAAATGTCCTTTCCGATGACTGTAATGCTTCGTGGATCCCCTTGAAGCAAAATGATCATTCAGGACCTGACGAGAGAATCCTGTACTCTCTTGTAGTGGGAAGAGGAGAGTTGATAGTTTTTGGAGGTATTCGTAAAGAACATTCGACATTAGGCCACACTGATGTAGATGATTCTGTAGTGTATAATGATCTCTATTTTATAAACCCTCCTCGATATATCATTTAATATTGGTAAATAATTAAAAATAGTATCGTACAAAGTTTTATTTCATCTTGCTAAAACTTTGTTTATAATAAATTATTCCTATTGATAAATGTATTTATGTAAAATTATTAAAAAAAAGAGTATCATGATATATTGAGCTTTTTATATAAAACAATAATATAAGATTAGATAAGGAAAGCAATATAAAAATATATATGTTATCTTTTATGTTGAATCAAGTTTACGGTAATCCCATCTTTAACTTACTAAGGCTAGCCCTACTTACAGCGCTCCTATATAGGAAACTTATATTTTTTAACACAATATGCAAGTTATAAAAATAAAACACATTTTTGGAAAATATTTAATATTTATTAAGATATATTAGTTTTTAAAATTTTTCGTGTTTCATGAAAATGATATTAAAATACACAAAATTTAAAATTAAATTTTAAATATGTGAGAAGTACATCTTGCTCAATAGCAATTTTTAGATCCGACAGATCTTGCTTGGCTAAGATGGAGTTAAACTGATAAATGCATACTTCTACAAATACATTAAAAAACCTAAGAAACCTAAGTATGTGATAAAATAGTATATTTTATGATAAAATTATACAAAATCCGTTTCAATCACAATACTGTCTATTGAAATTTTATTCATCTTCAACTTCGGCTGTTTTTAGACTACCAAATACTTGTGAAGGTATAATTTGTTTTTCAATCGGCACATCTGAAAATAAATGAAAAACTATTAAAAAATGTTTAAATGTTAAATGCTAAATGTTGTGACAGGATGTTTTATTTTTGTTTTATTTAATTAAATTTCATATTAATTTATTAGTCTGATATCATACCTTCTTCTACTTCTGCATCATTTTCGTTTTCACTTTCATTTTCATTTTCATTTTCATCATCATCATCATCATCATCATCATTCATATCAATATCAATCTCATCGGGATTATTTACACGCGATTCTGATTTACCATCTTTTTCTGTTACGCTACGTACAAATTTAATACCTCCTTTGAGGTCGGCAACATTATCTGCAATTTGAGAATTGTTAAGATTAATTTGTACAAAGAAAGTAGCATAAAGATTTATTTGAATTAATTTTTATTACCTGTATTCGATGCGACTTTACTATCTAACAAGCGCATAGCATCTACTGGAACATCTGACACTTGATTGGATGCATTATTCAACATTTGTGCAGACATCATATTTACTTGAGTATTATACATAGCTTGCACGCTACGTTTAATTCGTAACATTTCACGCATGGTATCCTCATTTCCATGTCTAACTTCAAACTCTTTCCAAACTTGCCAGAAATTTGATGTAACCTATGTCATTTGAATTCAGCGTGTAAAAAATGAATTATATAAAATGTGATAATTATATAAATGTTAAACTGTATTATAAAGATAATATATCATACCCTTGGGTCACATATTTGGCTACAATGCGCATATATTGCTCTCGCTCTATCTACTTCTCCTAACTTCGTCTCCAACTCTGAAAATCGTAAACACATTTCCCTAGTATTTTCATCATTTAGAACTTCTATGGCTTTTTCATATATCTGTCGAGTTTTCGGTACTCCATATATGTCTGCAGCTTTTTTAATATATATGTTAAACATCTGTAAATTGAGAGATCACATTTTACATTCTGCGGTTAAATTCTAAAATGATGAAACTATAAGCATTTAAATACAAATTTTGCAGATATTTTGCTTTAAAATCATGCATAAGTTATTTATAGTAAGAAAAAAATATATCGATGAAAAGATCATCATTACATCAAATTTCTCTTCCGGAAGGACAGCATTTGTTGCACGTTCATACACAGACATAGCATGTCTTGCTAAGCCATGGTCCTCTTCTAGTTTTGCGTATAACAAATATAAAGCTGTAATCAATAGAAATTGGTTATTCTCTTGTTATATAATATTAATGACACAAAAGTAAGAAAAGTTATACCTTTAGCATACTTGGACGGGCAATGTTCTAAACATTGTTCGAAGAGATCCCTGGCACGTTCTAGTTTTGTGCCGCCATAACGTTTCAAAAATTTTGTCAGATACGTATTCCAAATATCATAAACGTTGGGCCATTTAAATAATGCGATACCTTTTTCATATGCCTAAAAAGTGAGTTTAGTTAATGTTTTGAATTACCACGTATATATGTAACGTATGTATTAATGAAAAATGTTTCATATACCCTAAATGCTTCCTCAAAGTAGTTGTTTTCCTCCAAAAATAGTCCATAATTAATGATGATTTGTGGTGTAGCAATTTTCAAGTCGATTATTTTGTCATATACCGCTTTGCAGGTCTATTGCATAAATAAATAAGTAAAATAAAAAATCTCAATATCATAAGATAAAGAAAAATTTCACACATATAACGACGTACCTTAAATGTTCCACACATTTCTTCTAAATCCGCATACATAGACCATACTTTTAACGACTTGTATAATCTCATTTGCACTGTTTCTGTTTCATCATGATATGCCACTTTTCTAGCTGGCATTGCAGTGGCACGATGCATGAGTTTTAAAGCCTCTTTAGAATTACTGTATGATAACAATAATGGATATTTTATTTAGATTTAATTATTTCTTATATATATATCGAATGTAACAAATATTTCTTTGTCAATTATTTGCATATAACTACAAAATATAGATATGAAGAAAATCAAATTTACTTGTGTCTTATTTCCATTTCTGCCCACTCACACCACACTGAAGCAAGATCATCCACTTTGGTATACGGAACATGAGTTGCCTTCTCAAATACTACTCTAGCATCTTCTATTTGCCCGTTTTCCTCATAAAATTTGCCAAATGCAACCCACAATGTATGTAGTTTACCAACTGCCAACTGTGGTTGCACTGTCTGCACAGCTTCTGTGTATGTGTTAATTATCTATAGAAATTAAATAATTAGTAATGAAAGCAAATATATACATATATATATGAACTTGTAACATTTTCTTACCTCATGTGGTTGTCCTTCATAAAGTTTAACTCTTTTGTGCCATTCAGATACATTATGTGGATTTTGTCGCAACAATACAGAATTGAGTAACAATAGTCTTCTTTCCATAAGATGTTCCAATCGTGTCAATCTCAATTCTAATTTTATATCAATTTCTAACATAAAAAGATATAATTTGATAAGTAATTAAGTTAATAATATAAAAAAATACATTAACTTGACTAATTTATATAATGTACATTAATAAACATATATACAATTATATATAATATACAACCTTCCTGAGTAGGGTTATGTGCTGCTTCTTCCATTAGCTTTTTAAGGCTGAGTTCCTCGAATTGTGCATAAGCATCAAAAACTTGTGTAAAATCTCTGACGGTAGTAACAGTTTGTATAGCTTCTTCATAAATATCTCTCGCCTAAAGAAAATTATATATACATTTCGGTAAATAGCATGAAGTGCAAAAAACCGTATTCATTAAATATATGTACAAAACTAATAAATACCCTCTCAAAGAGACCACTTCGCACATAATAATCTGCTAATGAATTCCATAAAGGTCCTAGTTGATCTGTATAACGTCTTAAACCACCTCTGATAATAGCATCTACATTCAGAGACTTTATTTTAGAAGGATTTTTTGATATCAAGTCGCATAATTCATTCCATAGTTGATGATTGGACTTTCCATGCTTTGATACAAAATCGTCCTGATTGACAATCTGTGCGAGTTTTACAGCAGCTTCGTCAAGTCTTCCAATCGATATCAGATATTCTATGTATTCTTCTGTATCTTCCGGTGATAACTATATTTATATTATTATTATTATTATATTATTAAGATTAAATATATTATAATTAATGGTACAAGTAATAAATATTATTACCTTTAGGTATCTTCTAAAGACTCTGACAGCAGTCTCATAAACATTGTGTTTTTTTAAGAAATCAATATATAAAGGCCATATACGATGATGCTGAGTAATAGGGAGTGCTCTCAGAGAACGATCAAACACCTGACGTGTTTGTGTTATATAACATTGTTCAGTCATTAGTGTACAATAATCCATCCAAATACGTGGCATTTTATGCATAAATACCAATGCACGTTCGAAAGCATTATTAACATCATCATATAATGGATCTGTTATACATCGACCCTTTAATTGACTGACACGTTGTCGAAGATAATTATACCACAGTTTGTAACTATAACATATAAGTATTTATATGTATATATTGTAATATTGTAATATTATAATAGAATATAGAATTATAAAAATATATAAAAGAATTGTCTTACCTGCCTGGTAATTCTTTCAATGCTCGTTCGTATACCACATTTAAATTCTTACTTTTTGTATTTTTAAGGTGATCAATGTAGCGTTGCCAATGTTTCACTGAATATGGATTTCGTAAAATTTCTTCTTCGTATGGTAAATCTTCCTCATTCTATTCCATTAGAATTATAGTGTTGTGTTAGCATTTTACTAATAATAAATATGAAGCACTTTTATATTTACATGTTCCGTGCCGTATGAATGATACATTTATCATGAAATATTTCATATCATTAATTGACAAAATTATTATATAATTATTTATATTTTATTCGATTTTTTAATGTTAGTGTAAGTTTGACAACATAAGTCATCAATAACCTATATGAGAAAAGTTACATAAAATATAACCACGACACGGAACATAATACATTATAAATATACTTACAAAGGCGTATAAATTTCCTTCGTCATCTTTGCGTTCTAACATTGCGAAAAATGTGTGCGTAAGGAAATGCAAATATAAGAAAATTGTTGCACCGAACTGTAAGAAATTGAAATTGTAGGTTAGTAATAAGGCGGTATCATCATCTAGAGATAAGGTAAGATTGAGAGGGCGCTGTTGACGCAATGTTGCTAAGCTGTATAGAGTTCACTAGTTGACCCTTATGGAGGATTCACACTGTGTCCGATATCCGACGTGCGATATCCAACAGAGCTTGTTTTCTAGAAATCTAGTTAGTAACGTAATACTATAGATCAGATAGGAGTATATTGGAGCGAGTAGGAGCATGTTGAGGGCATACGACACGAACAAACCTTCTATCTTGTCATACTTTATCAATGATTATAGTCATATGCTATGTTAATGGTATAACCGGTTTAATATAGTTGTTATAATATTCTTACAGAAATTAATGCCTAATTAAAATCACAATGAAGCAATCAGGTACTTACTTAAAATAATTTTGTATTATTTGTGTAGTATTTGTGTTTTTCTTTCTCGATCTGTAAACAATATTTAAATTAAATTAGTTTAAGTTTAGGTTAAGTCACATGTTTTATTTGTGTACACACATTTGTATATACAAAAAATATATAAGATATTAATTATTTGTTATTATCCATTCTATTTAGTGGACAAAAAAGGCAGGATGCCGATTAATAAAGAAAAATTTAAGAAATATTCTAAAGGCCCTGGGATTGATTTGAAACGAAAAACAAGTAAGATAAAAAATAAAGTGATTAGACAAAAGCTGCAGAACAAAGAGCAGGCCATAAAGGAAGCAACAGAAGCTTCTGCTCGGACGGAATTATTATTGACAGAAGATCATGGCTATTTGGAAGCTGAATCCGGAGAAGCTACTACTGAATATCGACAAAAGCAAATAGTAAACAATGTAGACATAACAAGTGCAGCCAAACAATTTAAATTGGATTTGCAATTTGGTCCATATTGCTTTAGATATACTAGAAATGGTAGACACTTACTTTTGGGTGGAAAACAAGGTCATGTAGCAGCTTTTGACTGGGTAACGAAAAAGTTGTCCTGCGAAATAAATGTGATGGAATCTGTACACGATGTTGCTTGGCTGCATCAAGAAACCATGTTTGCAGTAGCACAGAAAGATTGGGTTTATGTATATGATAATCAAGGAATAGAATTACATTGTTTGAAAAGAATGAATGGTGTGACAAGATTGGAATTTTTACCATATCATTTTTTGCTCGCCAGTGGATCAAAAGATGGTCATATGGCTTGGCTGGATGTATCTATAGGCAAACTTGTCTCTCGCTACAATTCACATTTGGGTAGAATATCTGTAAGTTTTGTTAATCTTTATATTAATTTTTTATATTGCAATTTTATTTTACATGTTAACAATATTATTTACCTGTGATAGGTGATGACGCAAAATCCAAGTAATGCAGTATTGTGTGTGGGTAATTCAAAAGGAGTAGTGTCTATGTGGTCTCCAAACTCTAATAAACCATTGGCAAAAATGCTCTGTCACCATCAGCCAATAATGACGTGTGCTATTCATCCCTATGGAACTTATATGGCAACAAGTTCTATAGATAAGTCTGTGAAGATATGGGACATTCGACAGTTAGATGGACCATTGAGTCATATGCACCTTCGTTCTCCTGCTCATCGTATGTCTTACAGTCAACGTGGCCTGCTTGGACTTGGAATGGGCAATGTAGTGGAGATTTTCAGGTAATATATTGATAAAATGAGTATAATATATATAATCAACAAGTTATTATTTGAATCAGGGAAACATCTGGTGACTTTAAGCCATATTTGCGACATAAGACTGCTCGCAATGTATGTTGTGTGAAATTCTGCCCATACGAAGATATATTAGGAATTTCTACAGCAAATGAGTTTTCATCACTTCTGGTACCAGGAAGTGGAGAAGCAAACTATGATGCATTGGAAGTGAATCCATTCCAAACTAAAAGTCAGAGACGAGAGACAGAAGTGAAAGCACTTTTGGAGAAAATACAACCAGAGTTTATTACTCTCGATTCAAGCGATATAATCCAAGTTGATGTACCTAGTTTGAAGAGCAAAATGGAAGCAAAGAAAAAACTTTTGGTAAGCGAAGAGAGAAAATATCTTGAAAATCAGGTCATCTTGGTATCTTGTAATCTTGCAATGACATTTGAAATCAAATGTAACAATCTATTTTTTTCAGTATGTTAAACCAAAGCCGATAGATTACATGCCACAACGGACGAAAGCCAAAGGAAAAGGTGGCACTGCAAAGATAATAAAAACTAAAAAGATACTAAAAGATCTACATCGTCGGGTAAATATTTTTTTCACACATTCCGAATTAATTAGTTTTCTATATGAATTTGACATTAATTAAAAATTGTTATTACTTTTAGGAATTGATGGAAGCACGATTGCACGAAATACGGGAAGAAAAAATGCCGAAACAAACCGAAACAAAGCAAAACAAAGATTATGGTGTATTAAATAGATTTCTTTTAAAGAAATAATAAAGTAATATCTTGATAGGAAATTTTATGTTTATAAATATGTATGCAATTATTATATATAAATTTGAATATTTTCTAATATATGCAAAATATTTTTATTTGATGCACAATTAAGGGTGCGTTCCACTTAACGCCCACAGCGCTCGCAACACTCATTCCACCTAACGACCGCGATCGCTGTGGTCACACTTGAAACGTCATAGATGACGTCATTGATTGCGACGCGTCGAGTTCACGACGCCCGTGGTTCAAACGGGTTCAAACATGGGTCGTCGCAACACCACCTATAGACAAGGCCTCTCCACTGAAATCATGATGTCATCACTAGTAGGCCATTCGCTATTCTATTTTCAAGTGCCAAGTATATGCGATTGAACTTTTATATATAATCAAAGTTTTTTATTGTAAACTTTTTTAATAATAAATATATACTTACACATTGTGGGTTAAAAAATAAGGAAACTAATTTAAAAATTATTAAATTACTTTATTAAATATAATAATAATAAATTCTTTGAATAAAATAATAAAACACAGCTTTAGTTTATGGTTTCATTCTTTTGCAGTCTGGCATTGTTTTTCTTCTTATAATATCATTTTGTCTTTTTGTGTAATTGTTTAAAAGGATGTTAGAGAGTGTATGCGTAATTTTTATAATTAACATTTGAGTTGAATGCTTTGAACAACAGTGTCCTGAAAAAAGTTCCAAATACAAATCACGTATAGTTTCGAATGTTAGAGTCTTGACAATTTGACGTTGATTTTTTTGTACGAGAAAATCGTGATCATTTTCTAGTAATTTTTGGACAATTAAGAAAGTATATGCTGCACACGTAATAACGTCTTCGTTGGAATAACATAAACCTCCTCGATTGTTTGCTGCTATTAAAGCTGAAAAATGTATATTGTCACCAGTTAAAAAAACTTTGCAGTATTCGCATTTCAATTTTTTAATCGCTGAATATGAAGTGTATCCTGCTACATATACAAGAAGTGGCCAAGTATTGTCTTCGATATTGTTAAGGTCCTTTTCATCAATAACACATGCATTTCTTAATAATACGGGTATATTTCCTAATAAAAAATCAATTTAAAATGTCAATGCATGGTTTTAAAAAATGTTGTAAATTAATATAAAGTTTTCTATCCAGATAGAAAGACATGTAGAATATTAGTTTTAGTTTCATTTTAAAATATAAAATATGTTATAATTCAAAATGTAAATTTTGAAGTTATTAATTTTAAAATTAATTATTAAAACATATAGCAATCTTTATAAAATTGAAACCTGAAGTAAATGCTTGAATAACTGTAAGATTCATCTAACACAATTGTGCCAGTAATTATGAAAGTGGTCTAAATCAGAAATCTGAAAAAATTAATGTATCCATATCTTGTGTAAAAACATGTTTTGTGTTGTGATTAATTCATTTTTTCAGATTTTGTTACTTAGACACTTTCATAATTACCAACACAATTATTGCTGAATACATTTTACAAACTAATTTTGTAATTATTATAAAAACTATTGCAGTATCAAATTGTAGAATTATCTTAACACAATTATTATGAAAATGTTCTATCTGGGTAGCTTCTGAAATATTTTGAATTTATTTAAAATGTTTGAAAATAATGATTAACAATAGAATTAAGAAAATAAGAATGAAATTACAAAATGATTATACACAAATGAACAAAAATGATTATAATGATTGGAACTTGGAAGGAAATTTGAAAATACAGTTATGAGGAAAACAAATTTGTTTAAAGTTTATAAAAAATGCAGTTGCTCGAAGTTTCAATTAATTTTATTTTTTATTTATTACGATCATTTTTGTGAAATAAGATTTCTAAATTTTTCTACAAAATACGATACTTTTTATCTTAACGATAGAATCAAAGAAAGTTTTTTTTTACAAAAATATTGTTTTACAAATTTCTATAAATCCAAAAATATTTTTGAATTTAATGCAATTTTTATATTACGAAATTTAATATAAAAGAAAATTATGTAAAACCAGAATTTTGAACTACCTCTTCATCTTTGATATTTTCCACAAAGTCTAAGATATCTGTCGAAGTCATTTCTATATCTCCATATACTTTGGACTTTAAAAGAAGTGGCACGGTATTCTGCATACAAAGCTTACTTTCGGATTCAAAAACTTGACGAACTAATATATGATATTGTGCTCCAGCTTGTTGTCGGTACATTCCAAAACGTTCTTCCAATCGATCGGTTTGGATTTTTCCACACAAAAAAAAAACTCCAATGTTTTTTATCCAAGCAGTAAGTGGCTAACTTTATCAAAGCATCTGTGGTTTGAAATAAAGCGAAATGGGTTTCTTTTGTTAGTTTTCCACCACCTTCACAATTTTTCCATCTGTTTAACCAATTCAAAAAATTTTTTAGAAATTTTATGTGATCAGAATTTTTGGTGATTGGCTCTTCAAAATGATTCCTATGTCTTTTTCCTTTTAGTAAGGTTTTAACATTTACTATATCCCACCACTGAGAAATTAACTCTATATATGCAGCAGTATCTTCAAAATATTCAAAACGTTTTTTTGGGCCAAGTTCACGCAGCGCTATAACAACATTGGTATTGAAAATTTGTAAAGCCAACTTGACATTCTGTCGTTCGATTGACGTTGGATATAAGGATTTTAAAGACAGCGTGTATCCATATTGCAGCAAATTATCCTTTTCTGTAGAGTGCATATCTTTAAGACTTTGGAATGAAGCAAGTCTCATTTTCTGTTCTTTAAAATCTGGATATTGCATATACTGATGTGGTTTCTGATTTATCCAATTATTTCGAATGTTTTTTATTATGTGTACTGAATCAATAACATAAAACAGAGGTCTTGAGGAATCTTTAGGATTGCGGTACACATTCGATATTTCCGGTGGATTACTAAAAAAAGACATTGCCTTTTTATTGATTGCGTTATTGTCAGAAACAACAGCTAACACTTCAAAACCAATATTTTCTAAACCAATGACAATTTTTGCAATGAAGTCATGGAGGATTGATGCTTGGAGCGTTTTTACTGGTAAAATATGCACAACATCTCTGTAGGTTGATAACATACTATTGATCATAAATACATGAGCGCTCATTGCACACTCTGTACTGTTAAAAGCTCTTCCCACTATATTTCCGCCTTTATAGTCCACATACGGTTTTATATGAATTTTGTCCATCATCAATGTAATTGTTTTATCCTCAGCATTAAGTAGTTTGAATTTCGATAAAATGTAATGCAGAAAAGTTGACTCATCTTGCTCTAATTGAGGATTAGTTGAAAAATTGCTACAAATTCTTTTTATAGTAGTTGACGATGGTAATAATAAATGCCCAAAGTTACGAAGAAATTTGTAAGCATGTGGAGAAATTGAATGAACTAATCCACAAAACAAAGTAGTTTCCCATGAATATCGGAATGCATTTTTCTTCGAAATATCTAATAGTTTAATTTGTTGTAATAAAAAGTCTATAACCGGCTTTTGTTCTGTGACGTGACGCTTTCCGTCGCGCCCGTCACAAGGGCACTAGCCCGGCCAAAGAGGGCGGAATTTGGAGTTGCGTCCCCCCGGTCGAGGAGGGAGCGATTTCTTCCGCTTCGACGGGTCTTGCGCTTTTATTTAATTATTACAATCTACCGACAAACTTAAGATTTTGGCGTTAGAGTGTATGGCCAATTTATCGTTTTGTGTAACTACCGTCAAGAAGAAGCGAACGCCGTGAGATTTCGAAGGATGACCTCGACAGTAAAGAGGAAGCCCGGAAAACATACGAAACCAAGGTCATGTATCGAGTCTCGCGTTAAACATTGTCGTAGTAGCAGTTACCGATCCTCCAATTTTGCAGGACCGAGGTTACGGGGAAGCCCCGACAAGGTCCAGATAGAGGGAGCACAGCAGTGCAACCGGATGCCGAAAGACGTTGCCGCCATCACCGAGAGTCCAAACAGACGGTCGATGTAGCCATGGCCTGGCCAGCCGGGCAGATCGAACCGGAGGACGGCAAATTCAGAGGCCCTTATTTTGAAGTATCGGCCGTTGGCGAGCAAGAAAGCAAGGATAAACAAATGAAGAATAAACAATTGACGAGGTCGGAGCTGTTTACGATCGACAGGCGACTCGAGGAAAAATTATAAACAGAGTGCGCTGACCAATGCGTGGAGACTCGACATGGGCCAGGGGAACCTCAGAGAAACCACTGTTCGACGAGCCAGCAACCGGGAAGGAGCAGCTCCAGAGGAGGGTCCCGACGAGCGTAGCCGTACCGTCTTTGTAAGGCCATCACCCAGGGTAGATATAATTTTGTAATACCGGCCAAAGCGGACGCCTCCGACACATTCGTTACCGACAGTTACCGCTAAAGTACCGATTATTCTTGAGTATCGAAATAAGAAGTGCCGATATCGCTTCCCGTGAAATTCTAAGTCGGAGGTTAGCTGGCCCCGGTTACCGTGTTACCGTAGCCCTCTTCGAGGCGCTGAGCCGTCGACAGTCCAAACGCTCGTAGTCCGAGAAAGACTTATATTGTTACCGTCTCCGTCTTACCGGAGTTATCAGTTACCTGTTACCGTATGTTACCATGGTCTTGAGAAAATACCGTTTGATAAAGTTAAAAGAGAATTCGAGTCGCGGAATTTGCGTGGAGCGCAGTGCCGTTTTGCAGCGAGAGTTTGAATTCGGCCTTGGGGCGTAACGATCAACTCGTCGCGGAAACTTGAGTGCCTCTATCGAAATTACCGTCGAGATTACCTTTTTGTCGGCTACCGAAATCCATATATTACCGTTAGTACGGATTTGGCCTTGGAACGTCGTCTCTGGGCGAGATTCCGGATTCACGCCTTTAAAGAAACTGGACGTCTCTGGCAGGACTCCCTCTGTCTCCGTGTCCTACGGTGTTACCGTTTTGGGGCCTGTCCTGGAGCGTCGTTTCTTGGCGGAATCTCGGGGGTCGCAGTTCTGGGAGGAGACTGGAACGTATCTGGCAAATCTATTGCCGTATCGGTTACCGTAACGTTTCTCTGAGTATTGTTTTGGCTTATCATTCCGATTGCCGCTTCTGATTATCGTTTTGCGTTCCGATTTTCGTGTTTGAATATCGTCGTAGGTAACGTTTTCGGCTACCGTTTTGCGTATCGTTCCCTGTATCTTTTCGAGTACCGCTTTGATTGTCGATTCTAAGTATCGTTTGGCGTATCGTTGCCGATTGTCGTTTTTTGCGTATCGTTTCAAATATCGTTTTGAGTACCGTTTCGACTGTTGTCTTCGAGTACCGTTTCTTGAGTGTTGTTCTTGGATACCGTTTAGAATATCGTTTTTGAAAGTATTGTTCTTGGTTATCATTTTGAGTATTGTTTTTTTTGTGACGCCTGTTTGGCGAATATGTTTTGATTTGCGTGCGAAACCGTCTTTCTTAAAGAGATTCTAAAGCTTGTTCAGCTATGTTAATTCACGATTCTTTAATAATAAGTGTTAATAACTTTTATTGTTAAACGTGGTGTTTTTCTGACGACATCTCCTCTCCAGAATCTCCAATAAAAATCAAAAGAACTACGCCCCTCTGCCATATACTGAGCGGGGAGCGGCCGGACATATTAAAAGAATTATTGAAGTTACCGTTACCGTGGTGCGATTATACGCACCTGGCGCCCATTTCCAGATACCGATTTCGCGAGTTACCTTGCTCCCGACGTGCGTGGAGTACCGCGAGTTTTCCGAATCGTGCAGTTATTGCCGATTTCGCGAGTTACCGTGCTCCCGACGTGCGTGGAGTACCGCGAGTTACCGAATCGAGCATCTATTGCCGATACCGCGAGTTACCGAGTCGTGCATTTACTGCCGACGCCGCGTAAGTTACCTAACTCCCGAAAATCATGGAGTATCGCGGTTACCGATTTCCATTGGGCGTGCTCCCTCGGATCTGGCGTGATTCCGAGGCTAGTTCACGTCGCAGTTCAGATAATGTTGTTGACAATGAATTTAAAATATCGATACAGATATCTAAATTCTCCTTCACCGAACAGTCTTGATATTCTTCTTCTAATGATATTAAGGCTTGGTCGAGAATATCTTCAATTTCAATGATATTGCTTACTACCAATGGAAATTTGAGTTTCTTCAGATATTTAACTTCCCTTGATCCATAAAATAAAGTGACGGTGAAATTCTCCGACACTCGTGCACAACATTTAACATTTGGATATGATGTATCTTCTACATGAAAGAAATAAATAGTAGTGTCTTTGTGCGAAATTATCCACTTGTGTATATCAATGCGATCCTTCAATTTCACATACAACTCTTCTAACGTAGAAAATCCGTTTTTTTCATCAAATGTTTTTCTCGATTCTATGCTGCTTGTAATTGCTTGCTCGATCAAAAAATTCTCCATCTTTAAACGTTTCTTTTCTGGGCTTTCTCGATGAGGTGCTTCACTTTTTGTTAAGTATTGAGGATTGTTTAGCAACTGACTTGGAACAGCGTCTGTAACAAAAAATGCAATGAGAAAAGGAATACTATTTTGTTGTCTCGTTATGAGGAATATTAAATTCCAAGTGTTAATATTTGTAATTTCATTCTTGTAATTCATAAATATAACTAAAATACTATCTTGTACTAAAGTATTATCTTGATGAAAACAATAAACATGTAATTGAGATAAACACAGTTAGAATATTAAAATATTGCAGCTGTAGAATTTTTTGAAATTATTTTGAAACACTTACTTTTAATTAAACGTGGATGTCGCAATGGAGCAGTTAACAATTTCCCATTAGCTTCGTTATAATGGCTCGTTTCTCGTTCAATGTCGTGAGAGTGAAAATGTAATTCGCATACCTAAAACATGATGATGAGCAAAAACAAGTGTAATGCATAAATTTTTGTCTTGAGATTATTTATAGATTAACAAATTGATCGTTAACATATTATTTATAATATTAATTTTATTTACAAATATATTGAATTAACTTACTTTAGAACTATTTGTAGGACAAAAATTCTGTCTACAAATAGCACGCAACCATTTTCTTTTTATTTCTTCATTTTTTGGAAAAGAAAACGTTGCAACCTTTGGCCCATTTTTGTAATTGCCGTTACAATTTGGCACACAACATTTGAAAGGCATTGCTATAAAAGAAATACGTAATTTCAATAATAAAGAAGTATGATCCAAATCTAACCTATTATGGTCAGTTTTCTAAATATGTTCATAATTCGGTAAATTAATCATATTATGACTTACCTCAATAATATAGGCATTCATCAACTATCCACAACAAAAAATTCTTATCACAACACACTACACTATTAAAAAATTCACGTTAATGTCGCATGAAACACAAGGTTACGTTAGAAAACTGAAAGATAAATGGCCTACTAGTGATGACGTCATGATTTCAGTGGAGAGGTATTGATCATTGAACTATATACCATACTGAATGGTATTGATATAGGTGGTATTGGTCGTCGTGATCGTAGCCATGTTCGCGCGTGTTTTTAAACTGTTTGTAGTATTTGACAGTGACAATGTCGTCGCAAAAAATTCCGTTTTACAATACTGAAAGCAACACAGTGATAGAAGTAAATTTATCAGAAGAAGATACCGTTCGCGCTCAAAATCGTAAGTCATATACTTTTTACATATGAAGACATTTTAGTCAATAAGTATTTCCAGGACAATCATAACCCTAAACATTATTCTGTATGTTCATATTAATTTATTTGTAATGTCCTTCTTTACTCTCAGATTTGGCTTTTGCCACAAAAATCATGGAGGCTGCTTTGAAACAGAAACAGGCAACAACAATAATGAATTCAATAATTGTGAATCCTCCTTCCACGGATCCTGAGATCCAACAATAGGAGAAAACTACAAACACCGATACTGAAGATTTAGGTATGTAAAAGTTCTTACACGAGGAAAATTTTATATCAAAAATTATGTACCGTAGGAGTTGCGTACCATGAAAGAATTATAAAAATTTTTACTATGTTTTTCACATGTGATGAAATATATTGTACTAGCTTTCATTTAGTGAGAATTAATTGCCGGTAGTAAGTCTCTCCAATTTTGAACTGACTAGTGCTAGACGTGATTTCACAAAACGATTCGTAACACAGCCTCCTAATGTCACATTTGACGAATTTGTTAAAATCGGTAGTTTGAACTATTACTACATTTATTACTATTTTCATAAATACGGGTTACTATTACAAAATGTAAAATGAACCTGTTAGTATTGTTAAATTAACCTTTTGTTACAGTAAAGTTACAGTTAAATTTTTTGTTACAGTATTTTAAAAATAAATTAAATAGAACTATACACTGAGAAAACAAAATAGTTACAATTAACATGTTAAAGTTATGACAACGATAATATAGTATTGAGTCATTTTTATTGTTATTTTAACAATACGAATTATAGCTGATTCAACCATATGTTTATATTGGATCAACCATAATGGATTATGGTTGAATTAACTATAAAATTATAGTTGGATCAACTATAATGGATTATGGTTGATCCAACCATAATTTTATAGTTAGATCGACCATAATCCATTGTGGTAGATCCAACCATAATTTTATAGTTAGATCGACCATAATCCATTGTGGTAGATCCAACCATAATTTTATAGTTAAATCGACCATAATCCATTATGGTAGATCCAACCACAATTTTATAGTTAATTCAACAATACGAATTCAACGAATTATATGGTTTTTTATTATACATATAATAATATAATGTGGGGAAGAATATAAAAATGAGTATGTCATTATATAAGTAATGTAATTCGAGCATTTTCTATTTTTATAATAAGTTCAAAGTTATCTTTGCTTACAATTTGCATTTGTTGTAATTATAAAATTTCCAACATCACAGATACTTTTTTTTTTCTAATTAAACGTTAAATTAAATCTTCATCCAAAATAAAATTTATTTAGAATTAGATAATAAATATAAATTTTACCTACTTGTAGACACTATTGCTTAAAGTTCAATTCATTAAAATTAATTATTAATATTATATGTCATTGTATTTAGTTTTTATTTATATACTTCTCATATTTTGTGCACTCAAATTACTTTGTGCACACAAGTATGTCTTAAAATATGCATATGTATTTTTTTACGATACATAATTTTTTTATGAGTCACACTCTTAAGTTGATTCATTTGCCACTTTGCAGATTGACAGCAAATTTGCTTTGTTGAATATTACAATAAAAAAAAATCTCATTATTTAACAATATTGATAATTATTATTCATTTATGCAGTCGTTTAATCTACGATATAGACGTATGAATGTGCATAATTAATCTCGTATTAACAATCTGGCATGTAATGTTCAAGTAACAAAGCGTGTTCAGTTATGCATCCTTCCGCTGTGATATTTACTTAGCTGTACTATACGCGTGTTCATTGGATAATAAAACAAAAAACTGTGTACAAAAAACTGTATAAAAGTCGTATTATTATACCGTGCAGCGCTTATCGATTACATTGATCGCGATGCAGCTCGCAACGCAAGTGATTTTATCGTACCTGTCAATTGCTCTCTCTGGTATGTTTCTCTATAATTTAAATTTCGTAACAATTAAACAAAGCTTAAAAGCTTATATATTTTTTATAAAAATAGACATATAAAATTAATATCTTGCAATTTAGCGATATACATGACAAGAATATTTCGACTGTCATATTTCTCAAGTTATATTTATTTGATAAACAAAGTTTAATTTTCTGCCGTAGATGGATCAGAATTCTTGTCATATTTATACAAAGATGTAATAAACTTTTCCTATGTCGATAAGAAGCCACGATACATGGAAGATGTCAATTATTTTCCCGACAATGTACCAAATGTTCCGTATATCGCACAGCTTAAAGATGAGAAAAAAGTAAATTATCTTTATGAAATTCCACCAAATAATCTATATTATACACAGCCAAAATCTGAAGAAAACACACGTCCGATTAAACTTGTTGCCGGGCTAGATAACTTGAGACCCATCGATGAGAGTTTCTGTTTGAACGACGTACTTAGAGCGAATTCTTCACTGTCGAGTCGGGTCCAATGCGCTCGTACTTGTCGCAAGGGCGATCGCAGGATCTGCTATTATAATTTTGTCGTGGAAAATTATCGCATTAATGGACCGTAAGTATTATATTCTTTTGTCTCACAGTTCCTTGCATCTTTCTTAAATGTGATGTATATTGTTTACATATTTATATATATTTTTTAACCCTTTGCACTTGAGTAACATTTCAACATTTCCTTCTCGATAATTATAAACATAATTTGTCATGAAAAAATTAATATGTTATATTATATGATAATGTTCTTAGACGCTTGTTCAGGACAAAATAAGAAATTAATTTTTTGTTTGACTGGTTGTGAAGCCAGTAAAAATAACTACAATACCATAGCACAAACGTGTTCCTAAGAATAATTTTTCTTTAATTTTTAATATTCTAAAAAATTTATATGAAATAAAAAATGCAATATCGACATAATTCAGAAAATAGAAATAAATAACAATCTTAATTTTTTTTTATAGGGCCTGTAATTTGTGTACCCCCGATTCGATCAACGTCTTCTGTAGCACTTGTGAATGCGTACTTGCTGACGGCGTTGAACGTTCGGCGCGCATTGTAAATAGACAAATGCCAGGACCAGCAATCGAAGTATGCGAAGGTGATCACGTAGTAATCGACGTTTCGAATCACATGAGCGGTTCTGACCTGTCGATTCATTGGCACGGATTGTTCCAAAAAGGGTTTCAGTACTATGACGGTGTACCATTTATTACGCAATGTCCCATCGTAGAGGATACCACATTTAGGTGATTAAACAAATTAATAAAATTGGACATTCTGTATATTTTATGTACAATCTATAATTCAATTCCGCTGTAAATTATCTGTCCAAATTTTCTGCACAAATATAAAGAGAATAATTAAATCTCAATTATTAAATTGCCTTTGAAAGTGAGAACTTTTATTCTCGAATCCACATTACGATTAATTTAAAGTATATGTTCTCTATAAACTCAATTATTGTTATTCGTATGCTACAGATATCAGTGGCGCGCGAACAATCCGGGAACACACTTCTGGCATGCACATAGCAGTCTACAAAAGATGGATGGCATTTTTGGCAGCATCATTGTACGTCAACCTGCCGAGGTCGATCCTCACAGTCATCTGTATGATTACGATCTTTCTACTCATGTTTTGGTTATCAGCGATTGGATGCATGAAGAAGCTGTAAGTTTTCCGGAAAGACGTTTCTTTAAAGTCGGCGCACGACCGGATTCGATACTCATTAACGGCAAAGGAAGATACACGGTAAGTTTGACGTTATTAGAAGTTATTATCTTTAAATAATAATTCACGAAGTTATAAATAATTTTTTTGTATAAAAATATACATTATGTTAAAAAAAATATAAATTACCATATAATCACACACACACACACACACACACCATATTTTTTATATATGTTTCTCTTTCTCTATTTGTAATAAATTTTTTGCAGCTAACGAGTTCATTATTTTACAGGATCTGGAAACCGGGATTACGACAAATACTACGCTGGAAGTGATCGACGTGGAACCCGGCAAACGATATCGTATTCGTCTGATCAATGCGTTTTGCACAGTTTGCCCTGGTTTGCTTTCCATACAAGATCACAAATTAAGTGTTATTGCCTCGGATGGTTTGGACATAAAGCCAGTGACGGTGGATTCTATCACGTCATTTGCAGGTACGTCAATTAATTTAGTTTGCAATCTTACAGCTTGATGAGTATTATCTTTTACCGTGTCAAACAAATTAGCTATGACATATTAAATCACAATCTTAATACAAAACTGTTGCGGTTCATTAAATCGCGCTAGCATTTATTTGCCGGATCCTTTCACTTTTACATTCTTATAGTTACTCGTTTGATTAAAACAAGACTACAAATTTTAATGTAGCAACACTCGCATTCTTTCAGGTGAGCGTTACGATTTTATTTTACACGCCAACAAAACTGTCGGCTCTTATTGGATACAAGTCCGTGGTTTGGGAGATTGCGCAGCATTAGGTGTGCAACAATTAGCAATCCTGCGCTACAAAGGTGCACCGAGTAAGCCATCATTGCAATCTCCTAGTTACAACAAAGCTCTTCCTCAAGGTCTTGTGAGTATCTCTTTAAATTGATCGTATTATCTCGCAAGATATTGCGCTATAAATTGTTGCAATTAATATTGGAGTGTCTCTGAACATTTCGCGTTCATCTGTCTTCGAATCTAATTTAAAATAAATATTCTATATGAATAAGTAAAATTAACAAATTTTGATAATATATAAAATAAATTAAAAAATTAATAAATTTTCTCGTTATCGATGCTACTCATAAAGTTCTTGATAGGTGCTGAACGCGTTAAATGCGACCTGCGAAGTACCGACAGAAAACACGATTTGCGTGAGTAATCTAAATAGCATAGGTCCGATAGACAAAAATATTCTTCAACAAGAGCCTGACCTAAAGTTTTACCTGCCTGTCAGTTTTTATCAATACGCGCCTCAGGAATTCTTTCAGCCTAATAATATGTACATGGGTAAGCTTGATAAATATATCGTGTTTGATAAAATTTGAAAGCAAATATTATAATGAGAGTAACAAACAATACATTAAAATGCTGAAAAATCAATTAATATTTAATAATAGATAACAGCTTGAAAAAGTATAAACATACATGGTGTGCCAATTAAGTGATGAGACTGAATGACTGAATTTTTTTCTCAAGAACTCAAGAACAGTTGCACAAGTGTAAGATTGTAGAATCACACATGTTAACGTTAAGTTGAAATTTTATCTGAAGATGAAGTAAAGACGTGACTCTCGGTTGATGCAGTTGTTGTTTTTACAGTGTTGCCAGTATTTGAGAAAAAAATTCAGTCTCATTACTTAATTGGCACACCGTGTACAATTCATTTGAGTCAAGCAGGACGCTATAAAGAAACATTGTTATTTTTAACAGTTTCAGAAGATGGAAATCTCCTAAACGCTGTAGTCGACGGCATATCGTTCAAGTTTCCACCTTCTCCACCGCTTTCTCAACCCGAGGATATTCCGAGTAACCAATATTGCAACGAAAACACTTTATTCGAGCATTGTCCTGGAAATGGTGCGTGCACGTGTACACATAAACTGAATATTCCGCTCAATTCGATTGTCGAAATATTACTGATCGATGAATGTGAGTATACTTGAGAGTAGTGCAGTTAATTTCAATTGGCAATTAAAAATTGTCTAGTTATTTACTTATATACTATGAAACAAATTATACCTCTGCGAGGTTTTTATCTATTTAATCACATCAATCTGTAAAAAATTAAATTGCATATTTTTGAAGAACTATTTGCATCTTTCATTGCAGTACAAGTGACCAACTTAACTCATCCATTTCACATGCATGGACATGCTTTTTACGTGATGAGTATGGGGCGCACTAATGTGAGCAGTATTAACTGGAAAATTGTATGGGAAATGGATAGAAAGCAGCAAGTCAACAGATGCTTCGATAAGCCGGTCATGAAGGACACCGTCATAATTCCGTACAATGGTTACACCATTTTGCGCTTCCATGCAGATAATCCCGGTGAGTATTTCGAAAACATCTTTAATGAAAGAAATACAAAGAAAATAAAAATAATAAATTTTTGATATATAAATTAATGTAAAAGCGTATGACAGAAAAATATATGGAGGATTTTACGACAGTAAATTAAATAAAAAGCTTACTCCGATTTTCTTTCGTTGCAATAAAACATCAAGCGCAGTGCCGCAAGCACCGCAAAGATATTAATGTACTTTTTTCTTACAGGCTACTGGTTATTCCACTGTCATTTTATTTATCATCAAATGGTTGGCATGAGTGTACTTTTACACGTCGGCGAGCAAGAAGACATCCCACCTGTGCCGAAGAATTTTCCGAAGTGCGGCGGATATTCACCGCCCATTGAATACAGTGCTTATTCGTTGTTTATCAGAACGTAACGTTTATTACACGTAAAGACGTTGACCGATCGTAATATCCATAAATCTGCACATCTAGTTAAATTCGAGCGACGCACTCGCATAAATCCGGGCCTTCCACAAATTTATGGCCACGCGTATGCGAAACAACTGATTATAAATTTACGTACAAATAAGGAATATATTGTATAAAGTGTAAAGTTGTAAAACGTTATAACTATTTTCGCAATAGTATAAGTTTCTTCTCATTTATTTTCCTTTATTAATAATTAATTTTTATATTAAATTGTATGCGCGCACAATAAAATATACGTATCTATAAAAGTAAATATCCTTTTATACACAAACATGCCATTAAAAAACAGAGAATAATGTTCGACTGATGGGTGCAGCCCATATCCATTCCCTTTCCCATTCCCATCATCTTTTTTAGAATTTTCAATTGCCCAGCTAATCCACGATTTGAAGTAGAACACCCTAGTGAATACATCTGGATTGCCGCTAGCGCATGGTACTCTACCAAAGGACACGAGACCAACCAAGACCATTGAGTTGTCATGTGAAACAACGAGTGGACCACCGGAATCACCCTACCGAAACAATCTACATATTTATTAATTTTAAGGAAATATTTTTTAATTTAAAACTACATTTTCTTGAAATAAAATAATATTTGTTTCGTCTAAATAAATATTTATTTGAATCAAGTATATATTCACTTGGATATAATAAATATTTACTTGATTCAAGTAAATAATTTTTTTGATTCAAGTAAATATTTACTTGGTTCAAATAAATATTTATTTGATTGAAATAGGAATAGCCATAATCATATATTATACAATTTATTTGAAAAATATACTTACATGACACATTCCTTGACCTTTCATTGTAAAAGTACATATATGAGACGCCGTAATGCGTACTGCGGTATCATTGAAGCGTTCGTTACATTTCTGTTGGGAATATCCCTTCAATTTAATCATTACCAAAGAGTCAGGAGTAGGACCGTTTGCCTAAAAAGATTGCTTTTGTTAAAAATTGCTTTTAATTTATCTCATACCTTGCTTTATAACAAATTACTATATGATTTATTTATAATTATTATAAAGCATTGTTTCCTTAGTATAACTAATTCGTGTAAATTTTAAAACATAAAAATTTTTAATATTGTTATCCTTTGAAAATTGTATTGCTATATTTTTGAAAAACGCGATTTTTTCTTTGTTTTGTGTTGAAATAAATGTAATAAAGAATCTATGTCTTCTTAGTGTTTTTGAGATCACAATTATAATATACTCATTCTAACTATTGTTATAACGTTTTTTATATTTACCTCGAGTCTTCCCCAGCCACTAACTACGAGAGTATCATTGTCGTAATTGCGATCGAACTCTGGCAATTTAATAGGTTGGATAGCTTTGTTGGTAAAATTGAAATTGTTCAATACCCCAATTAAAGCGATGTCGTTCAGTTTTCGATTGCTGTCATAAGCAAAGTGCAGTGTAAAGTTTGCCACTTTATGCACAACGCCAGATAAAGAGAGACGATTGCTTCCAACGACGATGTAAATTTCGGATGAATTTCTAATACTGCAATAAAGATTATAATTATTTTGTATAGTTAATTTAAAAAATTAGTTTAAACTTTATTTCATTAATTTATATTATAAAAAAATGTAACTAAGAATTGTTTTCTTGTTATTTAAAAAATTGAAGATTCAGAATGGAGATTAGATAACTAATTGTAAGTACTCTTTTATTTGAAAGAAAAGAAGATGTACGTACCTTGTTAAACAATGCGCAGCAGTAAGAATATAACTTTTGTGAATGATGACTCCGCCACAAAAATGCTGCTTATTCTGTGAATACCTCAACGATGCCTGATAAGGAAATGCGCCATCGGGAGCAAAGCTGCCGCCGACGATTTGCGGATCAAATGAACCTATCGATCAAAAATAGTTTCGTTTTATTTTTGCATAACACGTTACTCAATCCAGAGATAAACCAATAATTAGATATTAACAATTAGCAATACAAGATAGAGCTGCACAACTGGACAAGGTTGTCTATATTTATAAAATATAATTAAATAATATATATATATGTATATTTATCATAGCATGAGTAATATTGAACTAAAGTTTCGAGAGTTGTCTTTTTTTATTAATAGAATTTTCATACACTTTTTAATACACTTACCATAAACGCTGATCACCTGACATGCGATTATGAAACCAACGATAATATTCATTGCAACAGTCACTGTAGAATTCAAACGCATCTTTAATTTATATATACATTTTATGGAATTAATCAATATCGTCATTTAACACATATCGATATTCAGATTACGCTTATCTTATCTACAGAGAATGTTATTAAATCAATATAAAAAATGTATATGCATATAGACATCTATATGTCATTTACAAAAGATAATAATAAATCTAACAATCAAGTAATAATATTTATTCACGCTATTTTTGTTAAATATATACTCGTAAATTTTTATATGCTTTTCAAAAGAAAAATATTTCTAATATTCTTATCTAGATTTTGTGCATATTTTATAACGTCACATGTTTATTTACAATGAGCAAGCTTTGTTCAGTTGTAATAAATAAAATTTAATTTTTTAAATTTTACATTAGATCCAATATTTTTCGATTTTATAATTTAAAAAAATAGTAACTTTATTAAAGTAATGTAAATTAGGTGGAGATATCAAGGTAATGTTATAAAGGTAATATCACATCTTTTTGAATAAACTTTTAATAATTTTACATAAATCCATTTTCTTATAATCATTCTATATAAAATTAATAAAATGATGTTATCAATAGATTAAAAATTTACAAGATATTTCTAATAATGCAAAATTAAATCTAAATAAAAAGATCTAATCTTGTTAAAAAAGTTGACTTTATCGTAACTAGATGTGTGATTATTTGTAATAGAGTTCTATTTTAATTTAAATGAATTTTATTCATTACTTACTTATTTCGTTATCACTATTTTCACGAATAGGAACTGAACCGGACTGCTTTATACCGAATAAAGTTCACTGATAGTGCTACGAATTTTTTGTTACGTTTTTTTATTACTAAATATTTATTTCAAATACATAAACTTTTGTGTATTTATTTCGCAATGCATAAATGCTCTGTAGCTTATTGCAGCTTTATTATAACTGTGCAAAGTGCGAATCACTTTATCAACTGCCTAATTCCGGTACCGCCGAAATTAATCAGTTTAGATATCACGATTCCTTATCACTTTTATCGATATTTCACGAAACACGTTAGTTTTATCAAATATAAATGCATAACAGCTTGTATGTAATATTTATATTTAGTCATTTAATATGCTTACAATTTTTAATTTTGCACGTATATTCAATATTACAATTTATATAACAACGATAATAATGATTTTATTGAATTATTATGTGTGTGTGGAGTTATTAATCTTTTGTTGTCATGTTATAAAACAATGAATGGCATGACTTAACAAATAATTATTAACAATGTTTGTAATTATCTATTTTGTATCAATATAAAAATTTTGAATATTTAATTTTTTTTTAAGTACGTAAAAATTTTTTTAAAAATTAATAAAAAGAGCATTTGGTCGCTGCTGAGAAATTTCTAAAATTGTAGCTGGTATTTATTAATCGTAGTATAAAATTCGCATCTGTTCGCCAAAAACATGCAAAAAATGTATACACTGAGAAATGTATCACCAAAAATTCGAGAACAATATTCAATTTACTTTAAATCTGTTATTAAATTAGACGTCATTTAATTATAATTTGTATAGTTGTTGATCCATGTCTTATAATAAAATACTTTCGTGAATACATCTGGAAAACCGCTTCCACACGGTTTTGTACCAAAGGACACAAGACCAACCAAGACACCGTCAGCAACGAGTGGACCACCGGAATCACCCTATTAAGACAATTTATTTAAAATATGCCAATATTTGCCAAAACTTTTTATATATATATACATACATTTTTCCTTTTAATCTTTAAACTCTGCGTACAATATTGTAAATTTTTGCTAATATATGTATATAAAATGCTAATAGAGAGTTAATGCATTCGCAAAACATTAGCATACATTGATAGTATGTTTGGACAACCAGTAAAGTAAGTTTACAGTAGAAGAGTAAGACAAAAAAAAAGTTAATATTAAAAAATACTTAAAAGTTGCGAATAAAAAATATTGAAAATATAGAGATTTCGATCTGATTTATGATTCTGAGAAGAAATAATTAATGAAAATTTCAGTTTTCTCAATATCTACTTGTAAATAAGGGAATGATAGCTGTTTCTTTTCAATAAATTTGCTCTTTTATAAAGTTAAATTAATCTTTATCACGCAATTTACGAATATATACTTACATTGCACATTCCTTCACCCCGCATTGTAAGAGTACATATCGTAGTATTCACAACTATATAGTTGTAGTAATTATGGCATTTGCTTTGAGATAATCCCTTCACAGTGATTTCTTGTAAATAATTAGGAATCGGGCCTTTCGTCTGAAAAAAATTATATATTGAAACAGTTCTACGTTATTCTTAAAAGTTTTTAAGCTCATAATTATATTTATTATAATTTATTCTTATATTATGTTTAAATACTTTACAAAATATAATACGATATCTTTTATATTTACCCCGAGTCTTCCCCAGCCAGTAGCTACGACAAAATAATTGTCGTAATTGCGATCAATAGTTGGCAAAGCAATAGGCTGAACTTTTTGGTTAAATTGAATATCGTTTAACATACCGATTAAACCAATATCGTTAGCGAATAGAACATTATCAAAATTAGGATGTATTATAAGAACGTTTACTGGGTACACAGTATAAGGTGTATCGAGGCGATTGCTTCCAACAGTGACTTCAACATCGGACACACGTTTCAGCCTATAATTAATTAAATAATTAATAAAAATTTTAATTATTTTGCATACCTAAAAACAAATACATTTCAATCAATCATATATAAATATGTAATACACGTATAAGCTTTATGAACATTTCCTCAAATTTTGTGTTTTACTTTACAGATACAAGATTTCTCAATTAAATGCTATTAAATTGACTTAATTTATATTGTAAAATACGTTGATACAAATGACAATAGTTTTCTAATTAGTTAGGATAAATACACAGAATGCAACTATTCGAATAAGGGTCAGATAATTAAGATTTTTCAAATTTAAAAGAGAATAAAATATGCATACTTAATCAAACAATGCGCAGCGGTAATAACATAATTTTTGCTGATGATAGCTCCACCACACAAATGAGTGTTATCTTTTGTATACCTCAATGACACTTGATAAGGGTATAAACCATCGGGGGCATTATTGCCGCCAATGATACGCGCATTTGGCAAACCTATGAATTAAATATATTTTAAATTCTAGTTTTAGTGTTTTTAAATGTGAAATATTTATATTTTAATAAACTTACCATAGACGCTGAGCGCCAAGCACACGATTAGAAGACCAGTAATAGCGTTCATACTGATAAATACTGTGAAACAAACGTCTTATTTCTCGATTTATATAAGCATCCTGTGACGTCAATCAAAATAATCGGTGTGTAACACGTCTCCATATTTAAGTTACGATTATCAAAAAGGTAAAATGTGATTGTCTATGTCAATAAAAAATATTGAGTAAATATAGGCTATTTAAAATTAAGTCAATAGCTAATAGCAAATGCCTATATTTGGTAATCAGGTAATAGTGTTTGTTTTAACATAGATCGATTTAATAGATTTTATTTAAATCTCTATATAGAATCTAATTATTCTGCATGCAAAGATATTAAAGCAAGAGCATTAAAAAGTCAGTAGTTTACAAGACTATTATATTTTACAGCACAATGTGTCAGAATAAATCTAAATAAAATAATGTAATTTAGTTTCAAGAATGTTTGACTCCATTTATTGGACATCGATTTTAATTAAAATAAATTTTATTTATTATTTATTTGTGTGTCGTTATCAATGTTAATTTCTACGTAAATTGTTTTATATTCAAAGCGATACATGCTTTGAATTTAATCTACTATTCTTTTTTCCTCGTTTGATTTTGTAAAATGCAGGTAAATGTCATGTTATTTTCAGATAAGTAATTCGATAAATGCTGGTATTTCATGATATCTCTTTATCAATCGAAATAATTGGGAAAATTTTTCTAGCTAGCGCTCTATTGATAAATACGGTACAAAAATGCGATGGAAAATGAAAAATATAATAGTAAACTATTTATTAAAATTAAAATTTTGAACGCAAGGAATATTTTGTAATACGCAAAATATTTTATATTATGTAAAGAATTTCGACGCTGACTCGCGACGTGTGGGTTTGGTGGAGGTTGTTTTCGCGTTGTAGACTACGTGTTTATATCCTTTCTTCCTCACTCTTACACTTTATCTCTCGTACGTTATCGGTACGCACATTCCTTCCCTTTATCGCTTCCAAATCATACTTTAATCCTTCGACACGACCTTGTCCTTGCTCCTGGGCTCTTACTATGCGCACGGCGGCATTTGAACGAGGCAAACCATTTCGCATACACTCAAAAAAATATTTCGCTGATGTAGTTAGATTTCTAGATATCGCAACAAGAATGTATCGCTATTTTTCGTATCTGTGAAAACATTGTTTGTCACATATAGAATTTATAGCAGTAATGTTCCAGCAATAGCTTCTGAAAAATTTAGGTACCATTGCTAAATGTTATTCATTGCATGATCTAACACGTGATTGATCTTATATAGATAGGCGCTTTAGAGAAACTTTCTTTTTTAAGTTCACAAACAATACAGATATATATTCTGTTTCTGTCATCTAAACTGATTAAGTAATTACATATGCAATATCACAACAGTTGCTAATCATTTATCTGTTTTAGTTAATTTTTTACACCTAGAAAATTTTAGCTATTATTGCAAGATCATTTTTTTGAGTGTATCGGCGCATTATTCCCCTCCACTCCTACTACAACCCTTATTACTCCTCACAACTTTCCACCTTTCTCCCCCTTTTCCATGGTTACCTGTTGCGTACACGGCAGAGTGTCGAACGCGTATTCCGTGCGAGTTATATATTCGAGTTTTACCTTTTGTTCTTACATGACATAATACGCGTCGGGAGTGCCGTTTAAAGTGCCGTGCGATTTTCGTAGTCGCGAATGAGTGTGAATCCTTTGAAGACCACTGAGAGAAGGAGGAAACTCAGGAGGAGGCGCCGGCGGAGCAACTTTACGGTGAGTAATAATTTATTTATTTGTTGAAAATGTTGCACATTAAATTTATTAAATAACATTATAATATTATATAATAAATCATTCTTTTTTCTCAGTGTAGCGGAAACTGAGCTGAGCTCTGCGCTAGCGTCTTGTGAGAAACTCCGAGGTGGCTCTCAGATTTTGGATGCAAATAGCAGTAACCGAGTCCGCGCGAGCTCTGCGCTAAAACATCCTGCGAAAAACTTCCTCTCAAATTTCAAATGCAAATAGCGATAACTGAGTTGAGCTCTGCGCTAAGCATCTCGCGAAAAATTCCCAAACGGTTCCGCGAAAATTTCAATCTCATGAAACCTTATTGATTTACGGTTTACGGTGCGAACTCCTAAGTATAGAATTTTTTATTAGGTAGGTTTTTCTGTTAGATAGAATTTCTATTAGGTAGGATTTTCGATTAGGGTTTTCGGATAAGTAGGATTTTAAAACTTTTTGTAGTACACGTGCGTCGAAAGTAGCCTATTACGCGCATGCTTT